CCCCCATGGGACCCCCAGGTTTCCCCCCCCCCAGCAGGTGGAAGGAGATGTGAAGCCACGATGCGGCTTTACGGCTCATTACCAACCTTCTCCCCAGCCTTTCAGGCTGGATGCTGGTGGAAACAGCTCGCTCTTCTCACGGCTGGTAGGAGTTGATGCGACCCCCACCTGGCAGTGCCCTCACCCGCGGTCCAGCCCACCCCCTCCTCCTCTCCAGGGGGGAGCTGCTGCCCACGCCGGAGAGAAAAAAAAACCCTCTATGGTGGTCCCTGCGAGATGCTCACGGTTTCGGCAAAGACGGAGAGCTTCCCCTCGGCGTACTGGTTAAACTCCTTCTCATCGACCGACAGCCCGAACCAGAGCTGGACCCGGATCTGGGCTGGGATCCTCGGACCCATCGCCTCCTCCTGGGGGTACTGCCAAAGGCAGAGCCCCATTAATATCCCCGAGGAGGACATTAATGGGGGATGCTCGGGATGCGAGGCTGGGGGTGGTGGGTACGAAGCTCCCACAGCCCCGGCCGGGAAGGCAGGGGGGGAGGTGGGGCACGAAGCATCCCTGGGAGTTGGGACAACATCAACAGCGTGCAGAGCACTTTGGGGATGACCTCAAGGAGCTTCAAAGCCCCGGTGGTCAGGGCTTCTGCGTCCCGGTGAGACACCCTTCAGGGCTAGGGCACCAAACCCAGCCAACATACTTCAGCAAAAATAGAAAGAATAAACAGGGAGATGTCTCATTGCCCTTTCTTCTCTCTCTCGGTCACTTTTTTCCCCTTCAAGTGATGCTAGTTTTCCATGCAGAGCTAAAGTACAGAAAAAAACAATATATTTTTGTTCGTCTTTTGCTGCCAGCTGGGCTCGGGGTTTTGGGGTTTATTCAGTTTATTTTATTTCACTTTATTTTTTTAGAGCTTGTTCGGCACTGATTGTCTGCTCCCAAGCTGGCACGCAGTGAAAGGCCAAAGAAATATCATTTGAGATGTGAGAAGCTCAGTAAGTGCCTGGCAGAGGAGGCCGCAGCTTAAATTTCCTGGGGTGGCAGAGGGTCAGGAATTTTGAAAAACATAAAATAACATTAAAAAAATTAAAAATAAAATATATTTTTTAAAAAAGCACCATCTGGGCCAAAGTGCACCCAGCTTCACTGCCCTGGAACTTGCAGAAAATACGAAGATATTCTCGGGGACCTGCTGCAGATCCATGCAAAGAGGAGCTGAGCTCCACCAGAAGCACAGCCAGGCTCTCACCGTGCAGGTACCAGCTTCAACAGGGTTGAAACTGGGGCTGAGGGTCCCCGGGACCCCGGGCGCTCGTGGGTTAACACAGCCCATTGTGTTGGGATTTCAGGTTTCCCTCACAACTGCCTCTCTCTTTTTTTTAGGGGAAAATGCTTTAAAAATGAATATCACGCATGGACATACATCAAAAGCCAAGGTACCTTCAGGAAGATGGTCTGCAGCTTCCCGCAGTTCTTGCCGCAGCAGCTGGAGATGCCCCTGGAGAAGAGGACCTCGTGGGCTGGCACGCGGGCGTACGCTACACGCTTGTCTCCCTGCAGCATCCAGATGACTATATCGGGCAGGCTGTTTTGGGGCTGGAAAACACAAAAGCCATAGCGTCCGACCAGGGGGCTCCGAACTAGCACATCAACCGCGGAGGGATGCGGGAGGCTGGAGAGCAGCCGTGCCCCGACTCCCGCTGCCAACCCAAGCCCATGGAGTGAGACCAGTCGACCCAAAACTCATCTCGGCAGCTCTGGATCCCATCTGGGTCTGGCTGGGGCAGAGCAGCCCCACATTTCTCCAAGCCCTGCCCTCCGCAGCCAGCCCAGGTCGCTTCGGTTGAGGGTTTACCGGCCGCGCTGTAAAGCTCTGCCATGAACGAGGCTAAACCTCAATGGCCGGCTGCCAAACCTGGCGCCTTCCTAACCCCGTTCGCATCACTGCGGTGGGCTGCGGGTGCAACCCTTGCATGGGGGGCCCGGGCTCCACCCGC